GCAGAGCCCAGGCCAGGGCCATCGAGGCCCCCAGAATTCTCCCTGTCTGAGTCACTTCCCTCCCAGACGCTGGCCTGCGAGGGAGGCGGCAGCTCCCCTGCATAGGATGGGACTTGGAGTCCCTGTGTGGGAGCTCCGCAGGGAGACTCAGCGGGACCCCAGGTCCTCCCCTCCCAGCCCTGAGGCTGGTGCAGAGGGGCTGGGGCTGGGCTGGGGCTGGAGGAAGCTTGTGTGCGTGTGTGTATGCATGTGCGCGTAGGCGTGTGTGTGTGTGTGTGTGTGTGTGTGTGTGTGTGCAGGGCGGGGGCTGCAGGAAGCCTGTGCTGGGCGCATTTCCTGAGAACACGGAGTCCAGCACTGTCTGTGAGTGAAATCTTGTTAGCTTCAGCCCCCACGAGCTGGGAGCACTGTGGCTGCCATTGCTCGGGGCCAAAGTGGGTGCTCAGAGATGCCCAGTTCCCTGACCAGCTGCCTCCTCTGTTCAAACCAGTGGGCGCTGCCAACACCTGCCTCCGCCCGTGCCTGCCTCGTGGGCTCAGGACCGGGTCCCTCAAGGACAGACCCCAGCAGGAACTGCGCTCTGTGGAGCCACCCAGCCACTCCCAGTCTCCCTTCACAACAGGGAAGCAAAGGCCCAGAGGTTTTCCAGGTTTCAACACCAAGTAGCAGCCGGTGAGGCTCAGGGCTCAGGGCTCTGATGCCAGCCTCTGTGCCCCGTCATTATCTCCTCTAAAGCTGGCAGTGTTCAGATCCTGGAAACCACACCCACCCAATGCCACACACTCAGCATCTAACGGGAGAGGTCTGGACGTAGTGTTGGGGGTGACTCCTCATCACTCACTAAAGCCCTTCCCTGCAAACCCAGTGCCCCCTCTGCATTGAGAATCGTGCAATGCTGCACTGAGGTAGAATTCATAGCCAGCCCTACCCACAATACTTAAAATCCAGGGCGCCCTGCCTGGGACAGCAGAAGCCCAACACAAATAGCTTATAGTTGTGATTAACCAGAACATAACGCATGTCTTTCCACTGAGAATCCTTGCTGTGGCTGCCTAGAAGATGCTGGGAAGCGATCTGACGCTGCTCCCAACACAGAACAGCCATGCTGATCATGTCTCCTGACAACTTGGACCCCAGAGGAGGGGTTGCCGTTAGTGACACTTTTTTTTGTAATGATCAACAACTCTCAACACAGAACATAGTCAGATGTCTCTCAATTTGTCTGGGGCTGCATTTTTGACACAAGCAAGGTAAATACTGAGAGTTCTCAAAGCCCAGGCCCTTCAGGGAGCTGGGCTGTGGGCTTAGCTGTTTGTTCCACGTGGGGCCGGGCGGATGCTGGTGTGCCTGCAGGGAGAGGACAGCTCCGGCTGCAGATGCGGGTCCCTGTGCTGGCTGAGACAGAACGCGGAGACCGGGGCGCCCTGGCTCTCAGAGCACGGACATGTGATAACCGGTGGCTGCTCCACAAGTGTCAAACTGTGCCCCGAGGATGGAGTGGCCCCGTGGGGACACTGTCCACTGCCCACACATGAGGACTGCTCATGAGATTACATCCTGGCCTCCTTCCTAAGAGCTTTCTGTTTTCCGAGCCCTGTGATTCACCGCAGTATCCAGAGGGAGAGGCAGCGGCAGGAGAAGTGGGACCCGGGGTCCCTTGCTGGACTCCCAAGCTGGCCGGCACACGCTGGACATGGAACGAGGAGCTGTGTGGCCTCAGGAGCACTGCTTAGCCCCTCTGAACTCCCAGTTCCCTCACTGAACATGAGGAGGTCAGATTAACTCAGTCCAAACACCAGCAGCCTCTGAGTCTCAGCGGACCGTGAGCCTCGTCCTGTGACTGCGCTGAGCCCCCTGGAGGAGCAGCTCCTGGTGGAGCGGTTCCCAGTCAGCGCCCCTCACACCGCCGCTCCGAGGTTCTCACCTGGACAGAGCTGGTGGCGAGGACAGGTTCTCCCCTCTTCTCCCCTCCCCGCTGGTTCCACTCGTACCCTCCGCCAGCCTCTGTGTCCTCCAGGAGCCCGGCGGAGCTCTCCCACCCTGTCCCCACCAGGCTGCCGAGTGGGAGACAGGACAAGTGAGCGGCTCCTGGCGCCTCGTGCAGGGGAGCGCTGCAGCCCCATGAGGTGAATGCTGAGGTCCCCAGGTTCTGCCTCACAGATCTGGTGGGCTGAGGGCAGTGTCAGGCAGGGGGGAGGAGGGAGGGCGTCTCAGCGGCCCTCAGATGCCACGGGAGGTACAGCTGGAGCCAGAACAAGCATGCCAGACAGGCGCTTTGGGAAGATGCCACCGGCAGGAAACTTCAAACGGCCAGGCGGCCAGTCAGGGCAGCGCAGGCTGGCGCAGTGGCTCTGACCCGTCTGTCCCCGGCCACCTCTTCCTGCCACCTCTGTTTCTCACCCTGGCAGGGGAGCAGTGGACGCCTGGTGCCCACTCAGCTGTCCACCCAGGGGAGGGAAGAGAGCCGGGGTCCCCAGCTGATCCATCGCTGTGTCGGGGCAGCCAAGTGCCCCAAGGCTCCCCTGGTCTCGGTTTCCTTACATGAGGGGCTGGGCCCCCCATTACCAAAAGCCCCTGTCGCTTCTTCTCACGAAGGCGAGGTGTCCAGGGAAGTCACAGGGGACATGAGCAAAGACCAGGGAGCCAAGTCACAGAGGTGTGGGTGCCCCGAGGAGGCTGAGCAAACTCAGGTGGCCTTAGGACCCGAGGGCAGCTTCTGCTGGGTCAGTTCTGCTGGGTCAGTCCCGGGTGGGGAGGGCCTGCAAGGTCAGGGGACGCCGAGGCCCCAGAACACAGCCAGCCCTCCCTCCCTGGGGTGGGACTCTGGGTGCTGAGAGCCTCCCAAAGGGATGGGGCAGGCCGGGGGCCTGAGCTCCAGAATGCGTGCAGCCCCTGAGAGGCCAGCCCGCAGCTCCTGGGGGACAGCTGCTCTGTTTTGGAGGCGACAGAAGGGTTCCTTTGGAGCAAGGTTTCCTTCCTCTGCTGTTTATTAACTTCTGCAAAGTGATTCAACAAAACCACCGCAAACCTCGGGGAAGGCCGGAAGAGGCGAAGCCTCAGACCTCAAGTGTCCGGGAGGCTTTGCTGCGGGCAGCTCCTCTTAAGCCCATGGGGAGATTGTCGGGCAGGGCTGGGAGTGGACTGACCCCATCCTGGGCTTGTGAAGGCCAGGGATGCCAAGTAGGGCCCCCTGGGGCCTCCTGGCCTTCCTCTGCAGCCAGCCTTGGGCGGAGGTCTCAGCTCCAAGGGTGCCTCTCCCTGAGGAGGACTAGAGCCCAGGTTACAGCTGGCCGAGACAGGGACCGAGCTCCTCCCACGGCAGCACCACGGGGTCTCCAGTGCCTGGGAACCAGGAGCAGACGGAAGGAGCTGTCCCCTGTGCTGTACTCCATCCACACTGGACAGGGCTAACAGGCAGAACACGGTGGTGGCCACGGTGCCAGGTGGAAATTGACTCAGGAGAGTGGGGTTTAGTTCAGCTGGGGGTGGAGGGGAGGCTTGCACAGGTCACTCTGCTGAAGTCCACGAGCCGGGGCCTGGAGCTCCTTGCAGGAGACGCACAGGCTTGGGGACAGGCGGTGACCCAGGACAAGTGCCCTGCATCTTCTGGGGCCTCGGCTGCCCACCTGCCAGGTCTGGGGACAGCACCCACCTCCCTGCACAGGTGAGGGTGGACTGAGGGGCTGTGGTCACTGTGACCACGTGGGAACAGAGCACTGATTACGCTGACCAAAGTCACACAGTGGTCACACTGCACGTCTACAGCAAGAATCACTTGCTGAGTGCCCCTGAGCTGTGTGCTGTGAATGTGTAGGCTGCAGGACTCGGGCTCCTTCTAAACAGGGCCAGCACTGCTCTGGGGGTTAACCAGGTGCCCTGCTCTTAACCGCACTGCACGCGGGGCTTTCGTGAAAAGTCTACATCTACCCAGCTGCCTTCGAGCTTTATCACCATTTCACAGGTGGGCAAACTGAGGCGGGGCTGGGACTCAGATCTGGACAGCCTGCCTGCAGGCTTCTCAGCACGGGGACCCAGCCTCTCAGCACTGCTGGGGTGATGGGCGTCTACTCGGCTCCCTCAGAGCCGAGTGGGTGGTGAGGGGCCTCAGATTTACTTCCCTGGATGAGGAGAAGCCTGCCTGGCCCCAAACTGAGGGTCAGAAAGTGACCGTGATGACAAGAAAGGGGGCACAAAGGGTGCAGCGGGCAGCTGTGAGAGGAGCGCAGAGTTCGGGGACCGGGACATGGCTGCAGGTGGTCAGGGACAGCGATCCGCCTGCCTTCAGGATTAGGGAGTGGAGCCAGCTCTGTCCGCCCTCCCGATGGTCTGCAGAGGTCTGTATGCTCTGTGGCTGCTGCCACCCTGGCCAGGCCCTGGCAGGTCCACTCACTCCCACGGATGCCATGCCCCTGGCTGCACTGGGCCGGCGAGCTAGGGAGCTGCACCTGTGCCCACCACTGGGTGATGGTGGAGGCTGAGAGCGCCCCCGTCCCAAGAGACGGTTGGGAAATGCGGCTCAGGGAGCCCAGGGCTGTGTCCCAGGCTCAGCCTCTGCTCTGGATTTCCGGACTCTGCCGCTGCCACCCCGAGAGGGGCAGCTGTGCCACGCTGCTGGGCCTTCGGGCTCTGGGATGAGTGCGGGTGGGTGAGGAGGATTTGTGTCTCTTCCCCTACCCTGGGGTGATGTCTCCTGAGCTTGGCTGGAAGCTTCGGGGCTGGGTGCCGGCCGGGCATCTGTCTGTCTGTCCCCATTTGCCCTCCTTCTTCGTCCCTTTCTGTCCTTCAGCTCCAGCTGGGGCCCTAAACATCGCATCCTTATTAGGAAGTCATTCCCCCTCCCCCCCGCCACCATGCAGCTTCCGGTCTCTGAGGGTCTCCAGGCTGGTGGGGGACCGCGTCATTTGCTGGCCCAGTTTGCAATTCCTCTTCTCCGTCGGGGCAGGGGCGGAGCGGGGTGTGAGCCAGAGGGCAGGGTAAGCACTGGGGGTGGAGGACTGTGGGGTGAGGGTCACTCGGAGCAAGCTAGTCCCAAGCAGCTAAAATTAGCCCTGGGAACTGGAACGCTGGGGTCTCCGAGGAGCAGCAGTTGTGTAAGGAAAGTGCAAGCTGGGAGAAAAAATGCCTACACCCCATGCCCACTGCAAACCCCACTGTCCGGGCTCCGCCCCGAGTGCCCGCTGACCACCCAGCCCCTCCAGCACAGCCCTCGCGGTGGTCGGCGGGTGAGGATCTGCTTGGCATGCCGGCATTCCCTCCCCGGTAACCCAGAACAATGTGGCCCGGGCTCCGGATAGGACCGAGGTGAACTGGAAGCAGGAAGGCACAGGACCAGTTTGGGTCTGGGGCGGTGAGGATGCTGAGCAAATGACAGGCCTGGGGGGCGGGGTGACGTGGGGAAGGGCAGGACAGACCTCGAGAGCCGGCTCAGGCCGGGCCTGCGAGGGTGCCACCTGGGACGGTCCTGGTGGGGCACCGTGCACCCCTTGGCTCCATGCGGATGGGGCTGCCAAAACTGGCACGATGGGGCACTACGTTTGGTCCCCAAGCTGGGGCGGGGTCCTGCGTCTCCAGGGTGTCTGCGTCCTGTTCCTGGCCTGTGAGAGGGCTTGGCTCTCAGGGATTCCTGGTGACAAGCGAGGACAGCTGCACCTCCTGGCGTGGAGGCTGGGGGCAGTGTGCAGAGCCCCGGGGAGGCCTGGGGCGTCGGGAGCCTCCGGAGAACCACGGAGGGGTCAGGTGGAAAAGGGGGCCCAACCAGGCAGCTTCTGCACTCTCCTGCCCCTAGTTCGGTGCCTGAGGCCTTTCTGGGTCTGCTGGCCCATGCTTAGGAAGTCCCCTGACCCCGACCACTGACTCCCACCTCTGTCTCACTGAGGACCAAGCGTCTTGTTGCTTCCCCCCAGCCCCGAGGCCCAGGTAAGACTTCTGGGTCAGCTTTGTTCCTCCTGTGCAGAAGTAGAAAGGCAAACCAAAAAGCAACCAAGGAAAACCTCCACCCTTTGTGTCCTCCTGTGGGGTTCAGCCCGGCTGCGTGGCAGGGGTAACAACCTACAGCCCAGTGACCACACGGAATGAAACGCCAGCGGGAGGACGCACCATGTGTGCGGTGCTGGACACCCACACTGTGTGCTCGGATCTGAAAGGAGCCCACCGCTCAGGGCTGGAGTCACAGCCCCAGCAGCAGCACAGGAAGGCAGGGCTTTGGGAGGGACCAGGGCGAGGGCTCTGCTCTGGCGTCATGTGTGCACTAATCCACATGGGGATTCTTAGTTGAAGTGTTGGGGGAGGCGGTAGAGACTTCAGGAGAAGGGACCGCTAGGTAACCAGGCAAGACTAGGTGACCGCGCAACCACGGAAGAGGTGGGGACCAACCTATGCAGACGTATGTGGTCCTTGTCCACTTCTCTCCCTCTCTCCTCCCTGACCACACAAGGTGAGCAGCTCAGCTCCTCCACACCTGTCCACACGCTGCGCTCGCCACAGCCCAGAGCCGGCAGCCAACCAAGCACAGCAAGCCCCGGCGTCCCAAGCCGCCCTTCCCCACGTTTCCCACGGCCTTGGGGAGCAATCTGCTCTCTCCTCGCCCTCGTGGAGCTCTCCTTGCCCCCACGTCGAAGCCCAGCACGGGCTGGAGCCTGTGATCACAGAAGGGTCCTGGGCTGCAGTCACCGGCACCCGCCCATCCCTGCGGTGTGTTGGGGTGTCACACACCAGCTCTGGTGCTGCGCCCCGGCCTCCCCACGCCCCCTCTCCCCCTGCTCTGTGCTTGATTCCCCAGCAGCGTCTTTGTTTGAGCTCCACACTCCTGGTATTCTCTAGTTCTCTTTCACACCCTCTGCCACCCTCTCGTGTACCCACTCGCTACTTTCCTGGAATTTCTCCCTCAGAGGATAGCTGGTGACCGTCTCTCTCTCTCTCTCTCTCTCTCTCTCTCTCTCTCTCTCTCTCACACACACACACACACACACACACACACACACACACACACGCATGCACCTTTAAACCACTTCCCCAGAAAGGTGGCCGTGGGCTACTCGAGCCTCTCAGTGTGAACGGCACCCTCCTCCCACCGTCTGAGCGCTGGCCCAGTCTCCCTGCTCTGCAGATGAGTAACACGGTGTCGCCTCCCTTCCAGCCTTTGTAAGTAGATTGGAATCTCTCTTTCTCTGAAATTTTTATGGTTTTTTTCCTTTAGATGAGGACTCGGAATCATTAGCGTATCTTGTCTCTGGATTTCTGTCTCCAGGCCTCGGGAACCCCGTGCCCGGGTGACTCAGGTCTTTCTGAAACACTTTCTTCTCCTGCGTCTTCTCTTCCGATTCCTCTTTTTTCTCCTTTCAAAACTCCCGTCACCGGCACACAGCTCCGCACGGCACCGCGGAACTCCTGGCGACTCCTTCACGCCCTCTATCTCCTGCCCTCCATTTCCTCCTCTTTCCTGTTGGGCCAAGTGCTCCCAGATAACCAGCTCGGGCTTCCTGCTGGGAAACTCAGCGGTCTTTTCCTGCTCTGGGCCTCCCTGGATGATTTGATACTTTTTTCTTGAACTCTTTCATTTCTAGGCTCCAACAACAGTACACTTCTGTGTTTTCAGCTCCTTCTTTTTCCCCTTCTCTGATTGGTCCTTTCTCTCAATCCCTGAAATGAAGGCTCCTCACAGGTTTTGTCCACCTTTCCTTTACTCTGAACTCACCAGCTTTCTTGGTGAGTTTCTTAACTGTCACCTTTTCTGATGACCCACCGTTATTCTGAGCTCCAGACTGCACATATTTACGGAAGGACCACCCTGGCCGTGTGGGTGTGTACCCACCGGCTCCCACGTCAAAACTGACTTGCTGTTCTACTACAAACGTCACTGTTTTCTGTGTCCCCCCGCCCCAGCCTGGCTGCACAGGTGACAGAAACACACACCACATCTGAACGTGGCCGGGGAACGTGACTTCTCCCCACGGTGCTGGGGACCACCCTGCCAGCCCCGTGGCTCCCAAGCCCTCCCGAGCCTGCTCGCCCTCCCCTCTTCCAGGCCGCGATGGACACCGATTCCCTTCTCAGGGTCCCTGCGCTGCACTGTTCTGTGCTCACCTCCTCCTCCGCACGGCGGCGGAATAAGGTCGCCACCCTGCCTAGGTGCCGTGAGGGCTGAGTGAGTTCATCTTTGCATGGAATAAAGAATCGTGCGTGGCCCACGATCAGTGCTCAGTCAAATGTTAGTTATTACTTCATGGACCCAGGCTGGTCCCCTGAAGTCCACCAAGTAGGTGAAGAAGCTCTGAAAGCTGAGTATGGCACGGAAGTTTTCACCCACAGATTTAGTGTCAGAAGAGACGTCAGAAGCAGCCCCCAACCTCAGGTCAGGCTCTTTGTACCCCACACCCCAGCCTCTGTTTGCAGGGATGTCCATGGGAGGGGGCTCCACACCAAGTCTGTCACCCACCAGCTGCCAATCAGCCAGTTAGCGGACCTTTCTGAGCCTCAGTTTCTCTTTGTTCTGTCGCAGGGAAGGAGATTTGCTGATACCAAGAACTCTGCCACCAAGTGAGTGCAGTGATGGGCACCGGAGGCCCGTGTGGACGGCACCACTGCCCTGGTCCATTTCCCAAAAAGCCGCCCCTCCTCCCGCCAGGGAATTCAGCACTGCGTTCTGCTAGGGCTTTCCCTGCTGCGGAAGCAGGCAGGAAACTGCATTTCCACAATGAAGCTTAGAGCCGGGTGGGGGCACATTTCTCCAGGCGACACCCTGTGGCCCAGTTTACACCAGGTGGGTGTGTGTGGAGAACTGTCTGTCTCAGGAATGGCCGGGGTCTTGCAAGGCAGGGACAGGGCAGTGTCGGCCTAGAGAGCAGGGCAGAACCTCCCAGGACATCTGGAGAAGCCATCGCCCAGGGTCTCAGACGTGACCATGAGGCTAGGGGGAGGAGTGAAGGGGCCACCGGCCCAGGCCACCAGCAGCCACCAGCCACAGAAGAGGCAGGAGCCATCTTTAGGGCCACTTAGAGAAGGGCGGTCCTCATGATGCCTTGATTTCAGCCAGGGACGTGATGCTGGACTTCCGGCCTCCCCAGCTGTGGGTGGATGCATGTGTGCCGGAAGGGCCGAGGTGCAAAGCTGCTGGGGTTATGGTGGCCGGGAAACAAACACAAAGCAGAGGAGGGGCTGGGGCTGGTGGTCCTGCGAGGGCCATCAACTTGGCTGAGAAAGCAAAGCACAGGCACAGCGGACACCCAGGCGGGCGTGGCTGGGGAGCGAGCCCTGCGGGAGGAGGGAGGACAGTTTGAGGTACCCAGGTCCCCCAGCTTGTCCAAGGAAGCTGATGCTCCAGATGGTTAAGTGAAATCTGCTGCTGCTTGCTAGTTTCAATTCTGGTCAGCGCCTAGCAGGCTGAAGGAGACACCGGTGTGGTCACGTCCAGCCACGAGGCCCTGGTCTGCTATGTGCCTGAGCCTGGGCTGGACCTCAAGGACGCCGTGTCTGTCCTCATGGACTCACAGTCAGCAGCAGGACAGGCTCAGAGACTGCTGGGCAGTGTCATGGAACCGCAGGGGGTGGGGTGCAGGGCACGCTGGGCGCAGAGGGCTGCTGCCTCCAGGTGAGGACACAGGGAGTAAGTCTGCACCCAGCTGGGGTTCAGAAGCGGACATGGCCCGGGGTGCAGACGCTGGCAGGAGGGTTGTAGAGGCCAGGGCAAGGATGCCCCATTCCAGTGGCCAGGCCTGGGTCAGCAGCCCTTGGGAGCCTCACTGTGTATCTCTAAGTCAGGACCAATGCTACTTCTGTCCTAGGACATCTCCAGCTGCAAGGGTGGCTTTCTCCAACAAAGGAGGAGACAGCAGGGACACTGAATAGCTTTCCCAGGACTGCATAGCTGGGGTACCCTGCCCAAAGTGCCCTCTCTACCCTAGTGGCAGTGCCAGGTTCATCTCAGGCCAGGGAGGACGCTGGGGATGCTGAGTTCACATCCTGGCCTGGGCCAGCCCCAGCCCGTCTTCCTGTCCAGGGAGAAGAGGTCTCACCCCTTGCAGTGCTGTCTCCCATGCACGGGAGGGCCCAGCCTCAGCATATTTGAGAGCCCCAGAGACACCAGGCCTGGTCACTGAGTGGCACCTTCTGGTTCCCAGCCATGCACAGAGTCTAGGCAGGGTGCTGGTGTCGCGATTTGGCGTGAAAGACAGCTGTGTCCCCAGGCTGTCCCAGAGGGTGGGCAGACACCAGACAGTAACCGGGCACAGCGCCCCTGAGACACCAGCTCACTTCTCCGTCCCAGATGTTGCCGTTTTTCATGGCTTACCCTCGCATTTACTCAGGATTTTCTTTGACTCATTTTCCCCTCTTACTTAAATGCTAGCCTCGGATTTACCAGAGCGATGACAGCCATGAGTTCATAGGTTTAACTTGCTAGGTTAGTTGTCCTCTACCAGCAGTTAACCAGCCATGCAGTGCTCGAGATGCCACCCAAGTCACGCAGCGGGAGACGTGAAATAGCCACGAAGAGCCTCAGTGCCTGCAGTGACAGAGGCTGTGTGTGCCCCTCCGAGGACAAATGCTCCCATCCTCCCGGGGCCTGGCGGGGTGACAGCTTGGTGAGCAGCACCTCGGGATGGGACCATTATGGCCAGACACAGCCGAGCCGCCCTGCCACCTGAAGTCTCAAGAGGAGTCACCTTCTCCACGTCCACTCCATCACAGGGGTGCAAAAGACAGTCGCTGGCCAGGGTCCAGCCAGGGGCTCCGGGCAAGGGCACCTGTGCTGTGGGCCACGCTGTGGAACTTCTGTCCTGTCATGACTCAGGGAGGGACGGGCGACGTCCACTGGCGCTGTGACCCTTGCGACCAGTACTTAACCATGGCTCCTCCCAAGAGAGCGTGTGGAAAAGAAGCAGAGAGCGGGGCCTCGCCTTAAAGATGCTCTTGGATATGCTTTCATTAAAATAAAAACACCCCATACAGAAACCGCAGGACGTTGAGAGTAATAAGTGTCTATCACTTCCGCTCCGGATACATGCATTACACCAGGGCGCCGAGGCGCTCCATCCCTTTATGACATTATTCTGCAAACATTTACTGGGCAAGTATTATGTGCCAGCTTGTGGTGGGCACTGGGGTCACAGGGGTGGCCCCAGAGAGTCACAGCCCCACCCCCACGTGGCTGCTGAGTGAGGTGGATGCTGATGAAAAGGATCACATAAACCAACAGAAAATGTCGCTGCCAAGGATGGAGAGGTGGCACAGACCGACGACAGCAAAGCCCAGAGCCGGCGGCTGGGTTGGCAGCCCCTGGGGAAGCGCACTGAGCAAGACACCGGGTGACCACGCGGAAACACCACTGGCCAGGCGCTTCTCACTTGATCTCGGAGCCACTCAGATGTGGGGCTAATTATTAATTAATAATAACTAGGAATCATCACTGGGGAGGAGGCCGGCTCAGAGAGGCGGAATGACAAGCCGGAAGGCACACAGCTGGCCTGGGCCGGGCATCCACCTGGCTCTGTGGTTCTCCAGCGGTGCCCTTCGGGGTGCTGCAGTTTGGGCCGGCATCCCCAAGTCCCACATGCTAAGGGCTCGGTCTCAGGGTGGCCCTTCAGGGGCGGGCGCTTCTGAGGAAGTCCTTAAGCACCGTGGGTGTCCTTGAAGGCATCACATTGCAAGACCCCCATGTCTCCCTCCTCTTGGCCTCCCTGTTCATCCTGTGAGCCGTGTGCAGTGGTGATGACCACCACCCATGCCGTCCAGTGCCCTCACCAAGGCACAGGTTACTATGGCAACTGCACCTAGGTTGGCTCCTGTATTCTTTACCAGCACCCAGGATCCAGGCTGAACAGGACTTGCGCCCCATTCTGCAGGGGAGCACAGAGGCCAAGCATGGCAGACAGCCTGGAACAAAGGGCTCCCCCTTCCTGCCGAGCCCAGCCACTGCCCCGAAACCTTCTGCCCAGCTCTCTGCTTGTCCTTTGGCTGCTGCCAGGACCCAAACTGGGCAGCTGCCAGCTCCCTGGTGTGCGGTGCTGTGTCTGGCTTGTGCTGGGCTGAACTGGGCTGTAATTTCATGGCTGCACCTGGCCCTGCACCTGGGGGACCAGGAGGTCTGTGAGGTGGCTGCTTCTCAGTCTGCGGGGCGGGGTTGAGGGGACCGGGCAACATCGCAGGTGCCCTGGCTGCTGGTGCAGCGCTGCAGAGCTGAGACACTCAAGGGGCACTGCTGTCAGCCCCGGTTCCGGGCCCCACTCCTGTAGGCTTTGGTATTTCCCTGAGTGTCAGTACTGAATTGCTGGCTGAGGACCCCGGAAATTTCTGTCTCCATCTCCACCCTCAGAAGCCTGGCCACAAAGAGCCCTGTAATCTGCCAAGTACCCTTCAGACGGGCAGGGCTACACCTTGACCTCAAGCATGCACTGTTTTTGTACTGGCCGAGAGCCTGGGAACTAACGTGACACTGCCTGCTTGGAATCCTGGCCCCTGAACTACCAGCTGCGGGACCTTGGACGAGCCATGTGACCTTGGACTCACTGCTGCCTTCCTGTGCCCTGGTGTCTCGTCCTGAGGCGATCAGAAGGCTGCTGTCTGAGCCTCCAGGCAGTGCAGATCAGAGGCACGCAGTGCAAGGGACCTGTGGCCAGCGAGCCGGGGTCAGCGCTGCCGTTCCTTGTCTCCCTCCTCTCCCTTTCTCCCTTCCTCTTGTCCTCTCATCCTCTCACCCTCTCGCCCTCTCGTCCTCCTTCCTTCCATCCTGTCTTGCCCTCTCCCTGTTGGAACCACCACGCCCTGTAGACCCCGAGCTCCTGGTCTCAGCTCAGGTCCTCCAGGCAGGGAACAGAGAGCTGTGCAGACAGCATTTAGAGCTTGTGTCTTTCTCCACTCTTGCCTCACCCTCCTGGCACGCCCAGGATGCTAGTGCAAAGCTTTACACAAGTCAGTGCTTGGTAAATCCCCGAGAGCTAGCTGAGGGAGAATCTTCAGGACGGGCTGGCGCTGCCCGCACTGTCCTGCTCGCTGTGTGGCCTGGGGTCAACGCCCTGACCTCTCTGGGTTTCGGTTTCAGTTTCAGACTCTCCACAGATGGCCTGAGGCTGGGATAAAGCTTTCGCCCTGCAGGTCTCCCCTGAGGCCTAAATGAAGATCCCAGTGGCCTGGCTCAGTCTGGCCTTCCCCCTCCTGGCCGGGTCTCTGCTGCCCACGCAGGTGCTCTGAGCACTGGGCCTTCCAGCTTCTGGGAGGGACGCTAGGGGTCCAGGACCCTGGTGCCCGCTCCCACCCAGGGCTGAGGCCAGGCCCTGCTCATGGAGCCAGCAGAGTGAGCCCACAGCGTTCCCCAGCTCAGAATTTTCCTTCAAGTTTGTCAGTTACACTTTAAAAACGCTGCCCACACCAAACAAAAGGTATCTTTGGTCCACATCTGGCTCTGCAGTCTAAAAATCCTCCATTAGCAGGCCATTCTGAGACTGATACAGCAGCACCAAGATTCTACCTCGCTCCACACAGACTGGCCAGCAGCAAGAAATCAAACAATAACAAGTGCTGGCGAGGCTCTGGGAGAGGAGCATTTCCTTGTCGGTGGGAGTGTAAACACCGTGGGAAACACTAAAGCCAGAAACTCCGTTTGACCCAGCCTTAGCCCTTTTAGGTATCTTTCCAAAGACATAATATTACAGAGGTCCACACACACCCACGTTTACAGCAGCACAGCTCACAGTGGCCTGTGTGTCCATCTGCGGATAAATAGGTAAAGAAAAGGTGGTATTTTACCTGAAGGAGCCCTACTCTGCCATAAAGAAGGATAAATGTGAGTCATTTGTAGGAAGGTGGATGCACCTGAGACCACGGTATCAAGTAAAATAAATCAGACCCGCCGGCGTGAGCACTGCATGGTCTCCCTGATGAGAAAGCCCTCAGAAAATAAAGAGCAGAAGGAAAGCCAGGCAGCAGGAAGCAGGAGATCTTTTCCAAAGCAGGGACATGAGATGGCTGGGGGTGGAGGGAGGGACGGAAAGTAAAGAGCTGGAGAAGAATGAAATGGGGTTTTGCAGATGTGAAGGGGACCAAGAGCTTGAAGGAGGGGGCGGGACAGGAAAAAGGAACTGAGAGGTGTCGTGTTCATGCAGCAGCTGCACGTGACAGACGCAGTCAGCCGTTCTGCAAACACGTACTAGTACAGATACACGCATTATGAAATCAGAGGAACACCTCCAACCTGAGAGAGCTGCAAGCCCGTCTGGCCCACAGCTCACCCCCAGGGAAGCCCCTGCCACCCCACGGAGAGGCACCCCACAGCCCCATCCCAGGTTCCACCCACACATGCAACGCGGCCTGCAGCGTCTCTGGGGACCAACTGGGTGGCAGCCTTTACCTTCCCCCAGGAGTCCGCTGGGGAGGTGACGGCTGGCCCTTACCCCCTGCAGCACGCTGGGAACCATCTGGGCCTCAAAGTCCCTGCGGCGTGTCTGGTGGGGTGACGATGGGGTCTCCGTGTGGGCGTGGGCAAGGGTCAGCTGAGGGCAGGAGCTAAGAATAACCTGCTCTTCTTCCAGCCCAGAGGGAACCACTTGGCCTCCTGCTCCCCCATCATGAGAGCAATGGTTCCTCCTTCTGCTGATGCTGTCTGGGGGCTGGGCCCAGAGGCCTGTGGTGCCCCACGCCGGGTAGTCGCACTGTGGCACAATCCCCTCTCCTCAAATGTGGCTGGGGCTGTGGCCTTTCAGCCAGCAGCATGCAGCCAAGGTGACAGGATGTGTGCTGTCCTGTGGACACAATCACATCATACAAGATTTCAACGCTGGACCCGGAGGAGACTTTCCTGCCTCGAAGCTGTAAGCTGTCGCACAGTGAGCAGCCCGTGGGAAGAGTCACACGGCAAGAGACTGTGGACAGACGCCACCCCACAGAGGAGAAAGCGAGGAGCTGAGCACGGCCAGCAGTCTCCTGGGCCAGAGAGCAGGTCCTTCCTCGGAGCAGGCAAAGCCCCAGCCACCAGCTGGATTTCCGCTGTGGAGAAGGCCCAGCAGCACCAGGCCGAGCCTCAGATGCCCTCCATGGAAACGGTGGCATGAGACAGGTGTGTTACGGCACACCACCACCAGTGACGCGACTGTCCACAGTGACAGATCACACAGCCGTGCTGACTCCCACCCGCCCCGCGCTGAAACGCTGCCGCTTGCGGTCCTGTGTCTCCGGGAGGTCAGCGGCAGTCGGTGTGCGGAGCAGGCCTGACACGGAGCCCCTGCGTGAGGCCCCACAGCCAGCTCCTGCTCTGCGCCCGAGAGGAGAAAGCAACACACGCCCGCGTTTTGGCCACACCGGTTGGGCCCGTGACCCTGCTGGAAAGGGAGAAGGCACCGCTGGCCAGAGGCAGATGGGGCCCGGCCCTGCTGCATGCGTGCGCGGCAGGAAGATGGGACAGACAGTCAGGGAGCCCCAGGGCGGGAGGGAGCGGCTGGGACTGTGCTGCCTTTTGGGGCTCTTGGGAGGGAGGGGTGCAGAGCCCGCACCCAAATCGTGTCTCCTGCTGCTTTTCTCTTGGGAGCACGAAAGGGTTCACACCAGGGTCTTGGTGTCAGCCATGGCAGCAGGCACATGAACCCTTCCTCTGGGCCTCCACGCCCCACCGTGAAATGGGCTCCTAAGGCCACTGCCCGGGAGTCCTGGAAGGATGGAGGGTGCTCTGTGTGGGGTGCGAGGTGTCTCCTGTTAGTAGAGCCTCATGTAGGGCTCACTGCCCCACTGCACACCGGCTGGGGAAGCCCCTGCCCCGCGGTGATGTGCGGACATTGCCCATGTGTGTTTGCCTGGGTTTATAGCAAACATGGGGGTTTGGGGGGAGCTGGGGTCCCCAGGTATGTGCCCTTCAGGGGGATGAAGGGGCCCACCGGCCCCTTTCTCTTCATTTCCCAGCCACAGTAAGTCAAGTGCCTTCATCTACTGGAGCTCCTGCTGCAACATGCTGCCCCGCCCAGGCTCAAGGCGG